GTGTTAAGGGTCTAGTGATAGTTTGATCTTCATCTTGAACTTTGAACACATGAGTATATCACAAAAATCTATCCTATGTCTGAGTATTACATATATGTTTTCTTCCAAACTCAACCACAGTGCACCTTGAATTTGTAATTTCAGAAATTTACTGATTGGATCTACATTTTAGAGCATGACATACTTAGTGGAGCTGAAGTAAGTACCCATGTGAGCTTTAGTGTCAATCCTTGTTGGAGGGAACTTACATTTACTCAAATCAACAATTTTTTAAATTCAAAATTTGTTCAATAATCTCATTATACTTGCTTTGGTTAGAGTGCATGTGGATAATTGATTGACTTTGACTTGAAATGCCAACATGCCTCCCCATGCTTGTCTAGAAAGGACCTTAGGCCATCTTTGAATTGTATTGAGGCTTAGCCTTTTCTTATGATAAATTTATCCCTTGTGCCATGATTGAGCCTTAATTGAAAATTCGTTTGTATGCCACATGTTTGACCAAGATAGGGTAAAATGATTACGATTACCATACCTTGGTTGTTCCGATACTGACCATGATTAATCATGAAGAAAAGGAAATGTGGTGAGGAAACTCAAAAAATGGATGAATGGTATTGAATTCAAATTTTGAATGAAAAAGAAGCGAAAATTCAAGAAAAGGGAGAAAAATGGGATTGAAAATGAAATGAAAAAAACAAAAAGAGACAAAAAGTTGACGTGAAGGTGTAAAGTTGAAAATTCCATAAAAATGAGAGTTTTGATAATAAAAGTCATGCCCTCGGAATAACCCTTTTGTCTCCCTCTACCCTTCATATCAGTCAACTCAAATCTCACCCCAAGGCCTCATTACAACCCACGAAAGCCTTAAATGATCTAGAGAAAGCATGACGATAGCACACTTTAAACGAAAAGAAAAGTTGATTTTGCTATCTAATGCCCTGACATTCCATTCATGAGATTATGTCATGGTCATTTCAATTGTTATGCATGCACATCATTTTTGGATTATATGTCAGCATTTTGGCTTATGCACAAGATTTTATCTCACATATACACATGGAGAGCATGCCAGGATAATCATAGAGTATTTCATTTTTTAGAGAAACCCTTGGTGAGTTTTACATCAAAGTTGAATTTGGATAGTTAAATGAATGTGGATTCCATTGAGTAAATGCTTAAATTACATGTTCATTTCACACACACATGAGTTTGAAAAGAAATGTGTAGGTGTGTACTCTAGAATAGCATTTAAAGCTATGATGAAACTCAAGTGTGCTTGGTTCGAGTGTTTGGAAAAATTGTGTCAGGCAACCCTGAGCTAGTAGGATGGGGGAATATTGCTCAAATTTTAGATATGAGAAAGGAATAGGAATGCCTTTTGTACTTTCTTTTGTGCTGTACATATTAGGTGTTAGTTTTGTTGAATTTAGAATTTCATGTCATGTGTTTTGAAAGGATCAAAAAATCAAATTGCATTGCAATTTCGTAAATAATTTGGGCATGGTCACATATTGTGGTTCACTTGCTTGGATCAAGTTTTTTGTGAAGTTGAGTTAGTAAATAGGTCAATAGAATGCGTTGGAGTTGGAGTGAGGATGAGAGCGTAAGAGATTTTTTGCAAAAAGTTGAAACCTACCGGTAGAAATTTTCCAGTACATTGTTCTACCAGTAGAACCCTGATGACCTACCATTAGGTTTTGCCCAAAAACCCAAAACACGAGGGTTTTTAACCCAAAAATTCGGTGAAACCCTTCACATTCTTCATCCATCTCAACCTTAAAAACCCTCTCTCCTCTTTGAAGCTATTGAAAGGAATGGAACATGAGAACTTGCCACACTCCCTGGAGGACAAAAGACCAATGGAGTGAAATGCGTGTACAAGACAAAGAAAAATGTCAATGGTGAAATGGAGAGGTACAAAACAAGATTGGTTTCAACAGGCTATAGTCAAAGATCGGGTATGGACTATGATGAGGTAATTGCACCTGTTGCTCATTTGAAAATAATTAGATTGATTATTTCTTTAGCCGCTCTAAATGATTGAAAAATTCGCCAAATGGATGTGAAGTCCGCTTTTTTAAATGGCTTTCTTGATGAAGATTTGTATGTTGAACAATCATTGGGTTATGTTGTGAAAGGGCAATGAGAGAAAGTCTTGAAATTAAATAAGGCTTTATATGGCTTGAAGCAAGCACAAAGGACTTGGAATAATAGACTTGATAAATACTTCCAAGCAAATAATTTCACCAAGTGTCCCCACGAACATGCTCTTTATGCAAAGGTGAATGATAATGTTGATATACTTTATGATTGTTTGTATGTGGATGACTTGATCTTCACAGGAAATTGTCCAAGAATGTTTACAGATTTCAAGAGAGCAATGGCTACAAAATTTGAGATGACCGACATGGGGCTTATGTCATACTACCTCCCAAGAGGGTTATGCTAAAATAATTTTGGCAAAATTCAAAATGCAAGATTGTAAGCCGGTTTGCACACCCGTTGAATGTGGCATAAAATTGTCAAAATATGAAGATGGAGAGCATGTGAATTCCACCCATTTCAAGAGCTTAGTTGGAAGCTTGAGGTACTTAACATGTACAAGACTAGATATTTTGTTTGGTGTTGGTCTTGTATGTCGCTATACAAAAGCTCCTACAATGACCCATTTAAAGGCGGCGAAAAGAATTCTTAGATACATCAAATGTACACTTGATTATGGGTTGTTATATCCTTAGTCTAACAATTCGAAGCTTGCAAGCTATTGTGATAGTGATTGGGCCGGAGATATGGATGATAGAAAAAGTACTACCAGATATATTTTCTTCATGGGAGATACCGCATTTACTTGGAGTTCAAAGAACCAACTCATTGTGACTCTTTCGACTTGTGAAGCCAAGTATGTGACAGCTACATCATGTGTTTGTCAAGCCATTTGGCTTAGAAATTTGTTAGATGAGCTTCATTTGCCTCAAGAAAAATCAACGAAAAACTTTATTGATAACAAATCAGCACTAGCGTTGGCGAAGAATCCGGTATTTCAGGATCGTGGGAAGCATATTGACACAAGGTTCCATTTCATTAGAGAGTATGTGACCAAGAAAGAAGTGTAGCTCAAGTTTGTGAAGACTCAAGACCAAATTGCCGATATTTTCATTAAACCCCTTAAAGAGGATGTCTTTTGAAAATCGAGAAGTTTGCTTGGAGTTGAAAAAAAAATCATGTTTAAGGAGGGTGTTGAAAAATAGTAATAAACATGACTTTCCATGTTCTAGGAGTTATTTTTATGCAATTAGTTTTTGTATTAGTGGGTCATCAATTTGGTATTAGTGGGGGACAAAGTAATTATGGTATTTTAATTCTCCATGTTCTAGTAATCATGTGTTATTTATAAGAGTCTATATATATCCATGTAATTCATCCATTTGGATATGAGTGAATTGAAAGACTTGTTCCTATCTTCAATAGTCTCTTCCATTATATTTTTTTGTGATTGTGTGATAGTCCTCTAGATTCCAACAATTATCCGTTATTCTACTTGTAACTATTCGATTTTGATGAGAATTTTTTATAATGCCATGGTAGTTCAATGCATATAATGTCTTGTAAGAGGTGGGAGTTGGATGATTGCCATTCTATTAGGAAAAATATTTGTTCTTTCCTTTATTATTCAAATTTAACTTCATGCTGCTTAACCAAAAAACGAATTTAATTCTATTACTTCATGTGGGTTGTTTGTTCCCCTTGGACAAAATACTTTTGGTTGGTAGTTGACTTGTGAGGCTTTGCATGCTATTGGAATCAAATTGCCCCCCTCACCACTTTGCACATGAGTTTTTGGTTGTAAAATTTTATTCCATGACTATGGATACAGACCACCAAAATACTTATTGTTCGGGACTGTGATGTTCAGTTATGTTAATTTCAAGTTTACTTATGTTTGTTAGTATAGATGATTATGTTCACTTAAGTTGAAGATATTGGAAAAAGGTCTCAAGTGTCAAGTTTTTGATTCCTTGAATATTGTTATAGAAAATATGTATATAATTAGATTATATTAAATTGTATAAAGTCTAACTTATGCACTAATTTAAACAGAATGTATAAAAATCAAAACCAGTGCACTTACATTGATGCAGAATAGCACGAATAGTAAATCCAAAAAAATTAGAAATCCAGAAATCCAATAATAACAACTATAATCCGAGCCCTGTATAATCACAGTTTCATTAAGACATATTTGCTCCCTCTCGATGCTCAAGGTTGATAAGCAACTGTCTCCTAAGATAGAACGAATTTTATTCTTGAAGATGTAGCGCTGCAATCTCCAAGACTCCAACAAACAAAATTATGTATTTATACTTGAACCGAACTTAAAATAATAATTCAGCAATATGCAAAAAGAGAAAGAGAGAAGAATGACTGAATACTTAATTCAGTATTTTAGATAATTGAGAGAACTAGAATAAGAGAGCAATTCTTAAATTGTTCAATAGTATATTTTCGGAGTGCAAGGAATCACCTATTTATAAACTCTCTAGTGACTTTTCATAAAGGGTGTAACCATATGTAATTGTACCTTTTAATCCAAATGGTATCAATGGTGACTTTATGAAAAGGTACAACTATTTGAAATAGTGTCTTTTAGTCTAAGAAATATCAATGATGACTTTATCAAAAAGTTGTGACTATTTGTAATAATATTTTTTAACCTAAAAGTGTTAATAGTGACTTTATGAAAATATGTAACTATTTTAATTGGTGTCTTTAATCAAAAGTCACAAATTTTGAAGTAATAGTATTTCATGTCATTTTCATTTCACACCTTTTAAATTGCTCCCAAAATTCATAGAGACTTTAACAATACTTTCTATTGCTCCCAAAAGTTACAAAAACTTTAATTATTTCTCATTCACTACTTAATTGTTTTTAAATAAATATATCATTATTTCCAATAAATATCAATTTCTAGACAGATAAATGGATCATATGGATAGTAGTCTTAGTAGGGCTCGAACCTACAATATAACCGTTACAAGCAGTTTATTTCAACCAATTAAACTATAAGCCCCTACGGATCTCTACATGTAATTCGCTCACTTGGGAATAGTGGACAGAAAGAGGAGGCCTTTGCTCTATCTTCCCCTTCCTCTTCCTCTTTCTCTTCCTCTTTGTCAAATTTCTTTTTGTTATAAGGTAAATCAGATGATTACATGACTAACAAAATTGGTGATATTATAAGTGTTGAGACTAGGGAATGGAAAGAGGAGATTACCCCTTTAGCCTCAAGCTTAAGAGAAGGCAGTCATTTTTTCCATTCCACTTACTAAGCTACAATAGGAAGATATCAAAACATTATACCATAATAGAATATTATCAGTCAAGTTTGGATACCATTTTTCCAGAACACAGTGGCAAGAAGAGCAAAAGGAAACAAAAAGCTTCCGATTAGTTTTACAAAATCCATGGCCTTTTATATCTGAAAATTGAGTGCACTTTCTAAGATTAAACTTTTTTGGTAAGGGCATGTACATATACTTACAATGCCCCCTGCAACTCTCACATCAAATATGTTGAAAAGAAAATGAAAGTATAGAATGCATGCTCTGCAAAAGTTAAAATTGACTCATCTGAGTTGGTTTACCGCCAATATGGGCTATGAAGTTGATTAATAATCAAAACATCTCACAGATTTAGTACATAGTAGTTTCACACTTCTAATGATCCACGTGCAACGCACATCTACATCAACTATATATATACTTTTTTAACATATTAAGTTTTTTAGAGTAGATAATAATTTAGTATCTCTGCCACCCTAAATAACTAAAAAACGTGCACATTCTTAGCCCAAATCTAGACCACATGTGAGAGGCATGTTACAAAAAAGAAAACTTTCACCAAAATGACTACAACAAATTATCTCTTTACTATGACACCAAAAATTGTAATGAAGTTCATATGACGTAGAATAAATCAGGGCAATACCATTTGTTGCCACAAAAACAAGACAGGAAAAAAAAAAGAAATCACAAACAAATCGCTGTGAAACTTTATCTAAAAAATTGTTGATGTCAACCGATAAATTCCACCAACCATATTTAAGAACTATTCATAACCCGTGCCTGAAGCCACGATAAAATATAAAATTCAAGCGTCCAAAAAATCAATCCGACTATATTAAATTTTTTTAAAATATATTAACTACAAATTAATTAAATATCAATTGATTAAATATATAATAGAAATGAGTTGTGTGATATTTTTATGAAAAATATATATAAATAATTAAATATGTGATAAAAATAAATTATATGATTTGACGTTTGAGTCTGACAAAGGGATGATAGGTGAGGTAAGTAATTGATGATAATTTTGAAAGAAAATATAATTGAAATAAAATTCAAACACACTCCTGTTTTATTATAATATAGATTGAACATTTATTACACAAGCTACACACCAGATCAATCCTCAGGTGGGGAAGTTCATACTCATAAAACGCAAGGAAGCCACCATTCAACTTAATGATGTAACACAATTTGTAGCACTACTCGTACCATAATAATATGACAATACAACATTAAAACATTCAGCAGCTGTAAAGCTGGTAATCTATGCTAAAAATTCTATAGCAAAAGAAAACTAGCGGTAGATCCAGTCGCAGGGCTTAGGTGTTCCGCGTTAAAACTTTGCAGGGTGCTTGTGGATTTGAGAGAGAGCACTGCAGTGAAACCTTTCCCAACCACCAGCAACCCAACCACAATAACATAAATTCACTAGCTTTCACCAGTGATATCTACATATTCAGGTTCTGCATCAGACTTGAGTTTTTAATGAATCATCAGACTCATCAGAATCACATCCATCAGGCTCCTTGGGATTTGGTCGGGCCTCTTGAACACCAGGCTTTGCTGCAGGTGTAGGTGCAGCTTTTTTACTAGCATTACGAGCATTCTCCTCACCATCTTCCTCCTGCTCTGCAACTTCAATAGGTGAACTACTTGGTCAAGAATAACAACGAGCGGTATAAATAATGCAGAGCTCTACCAAACCTATTTTGTTTACTATTTCATATCAAGGGCATCAAACAACCACAATGAAGTTCAACCATCCATCCAAAATACTTGATAACGTAAATGTGTGACTTCAGGGGGGAAAAACTTATATTTTAAGCAAATAACTGTGCTCATCAACATTGAATTGATAGGATACATATCTAGCAATCTGGCTAATTTAAAGATACGTGCATGCCAGTCATATGATCATTTCTCTCAATACTACCCAGTATACTGATTGGAACCTGGAATCCCTGTTCAGAGTTTTCACAACTCATCCATATTAGTGGCTGTTTGTATTCTTCTTGACAAAATTATGAAAATATAACAGCGAAGGATATCAAAATTCTCAGCTGTTCCACCAGCCATGATATTTAGCAGATCTTTCTCAACTCGCCGCACAAGTTCAGGCTGCATAGAGTACCAAAAATAACTGTCAGTAAATATTGTACAGATAAAAAAATTTGATAAAAACACAAAAGGCAGCTGTAGTGCAGCCACATCCTGTTCTTGTGTCTTCAAACTAGAAATATTGCATATTCTTTACTTCTCCATCGACAATTGCATTTTTTTGATATCAAAAAGCATCACAAGGAATAGTAAAGATCAACATTTGGAAAAAAGAGGCAATTGATACATTTAGATCTGGTTCTCTACGAAATCTTCGCCTTTGAGCATCCCTCATCGGAGGTGTAAGGCCATGTCTGTACTCCACCACATCTGGAACGGAATCACCCTCTTCTGTCACCATGATCATCTGTTAAAACAACAGGAATTCAAATGACTGCTTAAAAAAAGAAGTGAATGTATCCAAGTAAGAAACAGATAATGTTAAAGAGAAGTCTACTTGGCCAATGTCTGCAGTTTTAATGAGCACACTATCATCATAAGTTTTGTAGGACTCCAAAATGCAAGGAAGATCCAAGAGCGATGCAGGGCAACGGTCATTGCCTATGACAAATGTGCCACTCCTCCCATCCTCTAGAAAACGAGGCAATTCAATGTTCTCAGTTACCCCCAACAAAAAGCCAAAGAATATGAAATTCCAATATTACTAGAAATAATAAGTGCTTCCTTTTTCCAAATATGCCAAATACAAAACAAGCAAGACAACAAACCTTTACAAACTCGAGTGACCAACAGTTTTACATTTCAAAGTCAAAGCAAAACACCAATCATCTACCATCATTTCACTAATTCCAAAGCAACATTGTCCTCAAAGGTTTGTGGCCCAGAATGCAAGTTTGTAAAACATTCTGTTTTGCATAAATATGGACTCCAGACTGGCAATCACAACATGACAACCAATTTAAGTCCTCACATTTCCCTTCGGACCTAGTTTTCTCTTCCTTATTGAACAGGACCTGGGATGCAGAAAATTATGGAGCTTATCAATTTCTCATTTATATCCTCCTGGATAATGAACTGTATTGACAACGATTGTCACAAAGCAAGTTCAATCCCCAATGGGCAACTTGACCAGCATTCAAAATCATATCCTTCAAAAGTGTATTTATAGTTCATCCTAACAAGTCATTCATATATTTTCAAAATCCTTCAGTGTGACCCTTGCCCATTCCAAGCCAACTGGACAAGGGAGGCCTTTCAACCAAGTGCTTGGTTGAAGAAACTTCAGGGAGTTCCAAACCTGCTGAAAATGAGCCGGCCAAAGCAAGAGGATCGCGTTAAGAATGAGGAAGAATAATTTGGGTGGGGGGCTAATGTTTACTTGGATCGTGGGTTATTTTCAAATGTGGTACATGATACGACACTTTCTTAGATACGCGATATGATAGGGGTGGGTTTAGTTGGAACGGTGTTTTAGGTAGCAATTTATTTTGAAACTCTTATCTAGATTATTTTCACTACTATACAATATTATATATCATAGCACTTCTATAAACACTAAGTCATGTACCATTTATCTTACATTTGTGCTTCATTTTCTATTATCTAAAATATTATAATTACACTTAGTCAATTAATATGTATTTTATATTTGTGCTATATGATTCAAAACGAATCGATTTAAGGTTAGTGTTACAAGTTGGGGTCGTACATTTTAGTGATCTGGATCGTGAACTTGCCCCGTTTGAGATCAATGTACTCAGTTTTTGGGTTGTCAAGGGCTTAGTGAATCCTGTTAACTACGTCCCACCCCCAAAATTTCCTTTCACCACATTGAACACCCTAATATAGAACTCTTAAGTCCACCCCTTCAATACTCACCCTATCAATTACTAACTCCACCCCATCAACATGTTATGCATGTTTCTCTCATATCATCCAATACACATCATGTTCACACCCTCATATTCTCCTATCTCCCTATATTTATGTAGCTTCTACATATGAAATTTCAGTGGAGTCATGTTGTTTTTTCCATCTTATATTCCTTCATAAGAAATTCATTCTTGCAAATTGAGATGTATCTACTTAAATGCAGAGTGACTTGGCTAATGTTCAAACAAAAAAGGAAGAAGAAAAGGTGAGTGTCCATATGCTAAATACAGTTTGCGTTGTTTTGTAATATGATGAACATGACTTATTTAATTCTGTTTTGTCATGGTAGGCAGGTACTGAAGGAGCTTAAAGCCAAGGCTCAGCAGAAGCTTCTGGGCTCAAGAAAAGTGGGAAGAAATGAGGGGTCATTGGTCCAAATTAAAAGAACCCAAATTTCTTTTGATACGATTTCAACATGTTGTAATCTTGTTTCTTGTTAGAAGTGATAGCAAAGGTGCATGCTAAACTATCTAGATGTGCTTGGTTCAGATACCTTTAAGGAATGATGTGGCCCTTATTTGTGAAATTTCCTTGGCATGTTCTTTGATTTTGTATGGCATTACTCGATATGCAGACTATACACAAAAGGGTAGGAATATCCGGAGGAAAAAATGAGATGCAAAGACTTTGTATTTGAGATGTAGGAGGATGAAATTAATATAATGAACATGTTAATGGGTTAGATACAAGAAGATGGTGGTCTTCATTGGGTGAGTCTTTGCTTTGATAGACTTCTTTGGAATGTTGTGGGAAAGAATTGGTTTGTCAACACGTGATGGAGTTATATCAAGACTTGGACCTTTGCGATCAATTGTCAAGCTTTACACAAAGATTTGCCTCCAAGTATCAAGAAGCCTAAAGTGAACAGGATTGTAGATGACCAAAACTACTTCACATCAATGAGGTTTTCCAGAAGCTTGATAAATTAGAGATGGTGTTCAGTGACTTTAGGGACTTTGAAGTCAACAATTGGTCTTGCTCTAATCTTTTGAGATGGAAAACACTAATTATATTGTAATAGTGTTAGTCTGATGACAAGTTCTCTTGTCATTGTTTTCGGGAACTTTATAATCTCCCTCTTTTGATAGCGAAATCTTGTGTTGTGCTTCACCGGTGGATGTTGGCTTGTGTGTTGAGCTGAACCACATAAATCAGTGTTTGGATTTTTTCTATTTTGTTCTATTATTATTTTTTTGTGGTCTTGGTTCATAACAAATTGGTATTAAAACTTTTGTTTTCGAGATGACAAAATTCTAAATTTTTGATGGAGAAAACAATTTCAGTTAATGGCAAATCAAAATGAAAGTATTGTTTCATCAATAGTATTTGGTAAAAGTCATTGATGGAGCTCTATCTAAAGAGACAAAGAAGCCCAAAGTTGTTTTTATTGAAGAAAAGGCAAATAGTGCAATTCAATTGTCTCTTGCAGATGAATTTCTTCATGAGATCACCGATGAAGACAAAACTGAACTGCTCAAGAAAAAATTAGAGAGTTTGTATATGAAAAAGCCTCTCTTCAACAGCTTGTATCTGAAACAATGGCTGCATACACTCAAGTTGAAGGAAGGTGTGGATAATGATCAAACCCTTATTGTGTTAAGCTTACTGTCCAATTCGTTTGACAATTTTGTTAATGCAATGTGGTATGAGAGAGACACTATCTCCTTAGTTAAGGTGAAATCCTCTTTGAATTCTAAGGAGTTACAAGCTAAATTGAATGGTAAAGGTATTGATACTAAGGCTGAGGGCCTGTTTGTGAAGGGTCGTCATGATAATTCCCCTAATAATAATAGAGGACGATCCATTAAAAGAAATTTAGATAAATATAAAAAAAAATTTGGAAATCGATCACAGTCTAGGAAGAAATACAAGAATGTTGAATGTTACTATTGCACAAAATTGGTCATTATAAGAGAGCTTGCTTTAAGTTGAAAAAGAAAGGGGGCCATCAAAAATCAAATTCTTTTGATCCTTTTAATGTAAAAGTTAATGGTCTTTATGTTCAAATTTAACGATCTGTTACCCAAAGTTAATGATCTTTATGTTCTTCAGTGTGATACTGTGACTTTGGGTAACAGTGCAGAGTCAATTCAGTACTACTATCCGCAAGACTAGAGGTACAATTGATTACATTCATCCAGACCTTTGGAGTCCTTCTCAGGTTTTGTCTAAGGTTGGTTTCCGAGTATTTTTTGAATTGACCTTCATTGATGATTATTCAAGATAGGTTTTGGTATATTTTTTAAAACGCAAAGAGCGATGTTTTTGTGAATTTCAAGCAGTAAAAGACTTTAGATGAGCCAGAAAGTCAAGCATCTTAAGACGAAAAAGGGTTTGGAATTTTGTGGAGGTAAGTTTGATGAGTTATGTAAAGATGACAGGATTGTTATACATTGCACTATTAGGTCTACTCCACAGCAAAATGGAGTTTCAGAAATGATGAACAAGACTATTTTAGAGAGAGCACGTTGCATGCTTTCCGATGTAGGATTATCAAAGGATTTTTGGGCTAAGCTGTCAGCACAATTTGCTGTTTAATTAATCATTCTTCATCCACTGCTATTTATTTGAAGACTGCACATGAGGTGAGGTCTAGTACTCTTGTTGATTTTTTTTTATTTAAAAATATTTAATTGCACTACTTATTGTCATGTGAATGATGGTAAGCTTGAGCTCAAGACTAAGAAATGAATATTTATTCTTTATGCAAATGGTGTAAAAAGATATAGATTGTAGTATTCTGATCCTAAATCACCTAAGGGATGTGATATTTGATGAATCTTCCATGTTGTACCCAAGGATCAAAATTTCGTTTCGGTGCATTGTTTCGGTCACTTAGAAAACGGAAAATTTTTGACATGTTTTGAAAACGTTTCAACTCGTTTCGAAAACAGAATAAAAAAATAAAAATTTAAGAATTATTTTTTCAAAACATTGGTCGAAATATACCAAAATATCTTCAAATATCTTAAAACATTCCGAAATAATTGTGCAAATGCATTGAAATATAACAAAAAAAATTCGAAACATTATAGAACACCTTGAAGTATTAGAATTTTAATTTCATCACTGATTCGTTTCAGTCTCCTTGGAAACGAAAACGTTTCGGATGTTTCGACCGTTTCGAAACGATATTTTGATCCTTGGTTGCACCCAAGAAATGAGATTGTTGTTTCTGCATGGAAAGAATATGATTATAGCAAGGAGATGGAGCTATATGTGGAAGCTTCACAAAAAATACTAGAAATCACTTCAGTTAAGCCCATTACAAATTTGTATGATTCTAGTTACGATGACAATGTATAAGAGGAGCAGCAGTATAATATTGCAATTGGGAAGGCAGGTGAGACCCCTCAAACTTGGTGGTTTATGCACTTACTTTGTTAGAGGAGATTGATGTTAGGTGCCTTCCACATATTCACAAGTTGTGACAGGTACTAAGTATGCACATTAAGCCATTGCTAGGACTGAAATTTGAGAATTAGTGAAGTTGCCTAAGGGTATAAAGGTCATTGGTTACAAATGGGTCTTCAAAAAAAAGAAAAGAATCCTAGGGGTTGAAACTACAAGGTACAAGGCATGATTAGTTGTACAAGGCTATATAGTTAGAGAAAGAGTGTGGACATCAATGAAATTTTCTCACCAGTTGTGAAACATAATGCTATTTGTGTATTGCTTGTCATGATTAATTCACTCAATTTAATGCTTGAAAACCTTGATGTAAAAACAACCTTTTTAACATGGTGGGTTTGAGGGAGACTATTGACATGCATCACCCAAATGGATTCATTGTTCAAGATAAAGAATATCATGTTTACTTGTTGAAAAAATCATTATATAGTTTGAAATTGTCCCCAAGGAAGTGGTATGAGTATTTTGACACTTTTATGGTACATCATGGTTACTTCAGAAATAATTATGATAGTTGTTTGTATCAAAGACAGTAATTAGATGATTTTTTTATTATTTATTGCTTTATGTGGATGACATACTTATGGCTGCTAAGAGCATGTTAGAGATTAACAAGTTGAAAAAACAAATAAGTTCACAATTTAAGAGAATAATTGTTTGAGTAGGAGTGCAATTTGAGAGTTTAATTATGACACTATTTTAGAATTTTGGTTGAAGAGTAATTTTTGTTTTGATAGAAGACTTGGCCTAAAAATATCAACGTAATCCCTATTATTTTTATTAGAGTGAGTGATATTAATAAAATTAGTTCTCTGTGGAGAATTTGTGTATTTCTTAACCTAATCCTTACACGGTTAAGATAACTTATCGTATCTCTTATTCTTTCTTCCCCTCCTCTTTCTCGTCCTACATCAATTGGTATCTGAGTAAACCCTGATCTAATCTCTTGCTATTTCTCCCCTATATAATATCACAATTCGTAGTCTGCTTTTTTTGGGAGCAACTTTTATGGTTTTATGGCAATCACCATTAGGGATGTCAACTGATTGGATCTTGATCTGTCCAAATCTGAATCCTATAAAAAATTCGTGTTTCGAATCCAATACGTTTACCTGACGAATTACAAAATCTTAATCTATATCTGCATCAGTTAATAATCGGATATTCAATCCAATTACTTGATCCGATCTGAAATTTGAATCACAACAATATTTCATAAAAAACTAATAATTTTACCAAATTTAAAATTAACTTTCAACTTAATTTAATCAACCAATCATTATATTCAACAATTTTTATTTAATTGCATGTCAATCTCGAAATCCCCAAAGTCTCTATTAGGAATCCCTTGGTTGGAACAAGGTAAATGAGAAACCACTAATGTGACAAGGATGACAACAGTGATAAGTAATTAACCTGCTTAGTAGGTAAATAACACAAAGGTGACAAGGATGTTTGCCCGCAAAACGATATTTCTCGTTTCCAAATTCTAATATATTAAGAATCCCTTGGTCAGATCAAGGTAAATGAGAAACCACTAACATTAATACCTTCCAAAATGACTTAAAATGTATTGAGCACAAAAGTCACAAGAAGGTACCAAAGTATTCTCCTGAAGTAACTATTCAAGATGACTTCCACCCTGGATCCTAAAAATCCAAAAATAATTAGGTGGTGTCCTTAATACCACATCTCCTACAACACATGGCATTTGGCTCACTATTTGAAAGGGCCTCATGGATCAGCCTCTTCTCATCATGTTCTATTGAAGTTGCAACTACAAACCACCAAGAAGATTCTTTTTCAACGTTCTCATTGCTTCAAAAGCTCAAAAATACCTATAACTCTTTATGATCCATTGAATAGAAAATTATAAAAGCCAACCAAGATATTTATTCAATCCTCCCCTCAAAACACATGCACAAATATTCTAAATAATGTAGAGATAAGGTTGCTCCATTATGTCCTGGGCGGCAAATATTCAAGTTTCAAAAACAGTCTCTCCACATGAGCCGGTAATGTTGTATACACCAGACCTGTAGTCAAAGATCAAAATATCGTGTCGAAATAGTCAAAACGTTCAAAATGTTTCTATTTCTAAGGAGACCAAAACGAATCATTGATTGAATCAAAATTCCAATACTTCGAGGTATTTCAAAATGTTAGTTTTTTTTTAGATGTTTCAATATGTTTTCACATATGTTTCGAGATGTTTCAAGATCTTTAACTATATTTAGACCAATACTTTGAAATGTAATGAAAATAAATCCCTAAATTTTTATCCAGTATCATTATGTTTCCAAAACGTTTCCGAAATATTTTCAAAATGTTTCTATTTCTTAGGTGACCGAAATAATGCGCAGAAACGATATTTTGATCCTTGCCTGTAGTACTGGGAGTCTTGTGCATAGGACTACCCTTCTTTTATTAGCTTGGGCCTATGCATACAAAACCATCTCCACCTAGCCTTATTTCCCAACCAAGTGACACGTGCACAAATTGCTATCACCAATTCAACTTTTCATGTAGCCAACCTACTGATCAACCAACATGTAGACCTATTCTAACTACCTACTGTCTATACCCCGCAAGTCAAAATAACAGAAGAGTAAATGTTGGTTTAAAAATCCCATACCATGTCACATAGAGTCATTCAAACTCTTATGTCATCAATTCCTTCATTCTTGGCTACATTAATTTCAGTGGTCTAATTGTCCATGTGTTTGATTTATTTCTTCCCATTTTGGCCCTTTTTGAGTAAATCATGACTAGCGGTGCATATTCTAAACAAGGCATGCCAATAGACTAAAAAAAGTAAATAAAATAAATACTCGAATGAAAAAACTATAAAGTTATTTGGACAAGGAGATGCAAAAGGTTTAGCACTCTTTACATGGCGGTCATAATAACAAGATAGAAAAGCACACATGTAATCAAGGGCTTGGAAAACACAATTGGTTACATAGACAATATAAAAAGCACAGACACAAGATACGGATACGACCAATACGAACACGGAATATATCCAAAAACTAGGACAAAACGAGGACACGTCAAATAATTTATAATTTTATAAATTATATATATTATATTATATGGTGGTGCACGTATCAATAAGATGTCCATTAAAATTATGCTGGAAACCAAAAAACAATTCCAGCAACATTAAACAGCTGGATGTTTTTAGAGGGGAATTCGGTGAACAAAGTTGAGAACTGTATTGCTGAGCAAGCAAATATGGCTGTTTATTCAATTTTTTTTTTATTTGATCAGATGATGTACCATCATCAACCGATTTCCAAGGCAAAACACAATGTTATTTGGGCAGTCAAAATTTTGGCTTCAAAATCTTTTCATGAGTCAGTAACATGGACCCACTGCTGTGAATCTTTAATAAAGTTGTTGGATCTAGTATTTCACAATAGTCTTCGATAGGACACTTGGCAGCCCATTATTCATCATAATGATTGAATAAGTCATCTTGTAGAATACCTCGTTGCACTTCATTTTTTATGGCAGTCAGCTGAGGCCCACCAAAATATTTTCAGCATTAATTCATTGTTCCTTCTTGTGGGTAAAGAGAGGCCTCATCCCCTCTCATCTGTAGAATATTTTGAACCTCTCGTCTCCCCCACACTTTCTCTCTCTCTCTAAAAATAAATTTGCAATCTCTTGTCCTCTTTGTAAAAAACCTTCTGCAACTTTTTTTTGGATCGCTGAACCGTTAACAACTTCTCTCTCTGTCTATCTCTAGCCACCCTTGTTCCTCTCTCTCTAGCTTTCTTCATCTTCATCAGATTAGGAAAAGTAAGAAACGCGTCCGATTGAATCCCAAACCTGTCGAGACGCGTATGAAAAGGAAAAAAAAATCTGACACCATTTTTCACATGTCCGGGACATGTTCAGGCATGTCCATGTACCAAACGTGTCAAACACTGATACGTGAGTATAAATTGAGTGTTCTTGCTTCATAGTTGACAATTATCAACACTGCTCTGGAAACAAATGTAAGCATTACTATAAACTTTACGTTTTTTCAACCAGGGAACGCATATTCTCACCCGAGAAAGATAAATCCAATGATTTGTCTTCAGAAGAAGAGGCATTCTCACTCAAAAGGAAGTCTATTCGCTCAGCAACAGAAGGTGGAACTCGGAGTGTAAACTGCTCCATGCCTACGGAATGCAATAGAAATCCACATCAGAACCATATTGTAAGCAAAGATATAACAAAAAATCATTTTGAATCTATGCTTATAATTCAAACTAAGTCTAACAGTTACAAATGTACGAAGACCATGAATAAAAGGCAATATTGGAGTAAATATCTACATATACAAACTATTGAACCCAAAAAAAGAGATGAGTTAACCTGGCGCTCTCCCTTCTCTTTTCTAAACATATCGAAGCAAATGACAATATTAGTAATTTGATTAACAAATTTAGTTTTGCAAATTTTCTTGGACAATGATGTATAAAAGAAACCAAATACATCTTTACTTTTCCTTTTGGGCCTCCTGAAAATTGAAAATAAGATCCTAAAAGAACAAATGGAAACAAGACTTGGCCAATTCTCGTTAATGAAATATCAGCACAGCAAGGGAATAAACAATGGCACTAGGATTCACGGTTCAAGGTATCGGCAAAGACCGATATCGATATGACTCGGTCGAGTAATATCCGCCTCGGCCACTACCGTTACAATACCGATACCCGTTAAAAAAAAAAAAAATCCCCAGTCGAGTTTGAATCGGTTCCGTCTCAGCCAAAATCGGTACAACTCGGGCAAGTCACAGATTCGAAACAATTTGCTCCACCAGAACCCACAGTCGTCTCACAGACCCAACGACAGCAAATAACATGCCAAAAAAAAAAAAAAGCAAAGGAGATGTGATAGAAGATGACCCACAATTTTGCAAACATCAACTTGCATGCAAAATCCAAAATTCAATGAATTGATGCAAAATAAGAAGAGTCATGGACAGATCACTGAAGAACCCACACACCAACACACGCTTACACCCAGAAACACACACACACGGGCAGAAACACGCACACAAACGAAGAACCACACACACCCACAAACGCAGAAACACACACACGCCCAGACACAGATTTATGTATATATATATATATGCATATATATACATAGATCTATGTATATATATGCAGAGAGAGAGTAGATCTATTTTATAACTCACCTTCGTGGCAGTCGAATCCTCTGGCTGAAGAAATCTGAGATGGGATCGAGGTTGAGAGATGAAGATCTGAGCAATTCCGGCGGAGTCTTCTTCGTCCTCAGGCTGAACAGTGACAAACGGGAGAGGGAGACAGAGGCGGGAGAGGTAAATGAATTGGGATTTTATACTTTCAGTTTTGGTACCTTTGCAGCTAATGGGATTCGAAACCTAGACCTCGTTAAATGGACCTCAGGCGGCGCGTGTGTTTTTCTTTTTGTGTGTTTTTAGAATGGGAAACACTATTGAGTCCTCGTTAATTTGCTGATTTAATTTATTATAATTTTTAGATTAATTGTGAATTTAATTAAATATTAAAATTTAATGTTAATTCAATAATTCCAAAGAATTCACATCATTAAGTAATAAATTATATCAATTTTTTAGGTGCAAATAACATTTTTCCTTTTAGAAAAACCATTTTTGGTGTTTCGAGATTTGGGGCTTGTTTTTAAAATAAGGTAGCTGAAAAAAAAAAAAAGGAAAATACAAACACAAATACGTTTTTATGTTTTAAAAAAAAAACACACAGCACAAAACAAAACAAAATTAATTACCAAACGAAGTCTAAATTAGAGATAGGTCAACAGATCATGTTCCTAAGAAAATGGTCCACTAGGTTGCACACTAAGAAGATCTATATAAATGGGTTCCACCTCTATAAAACATAGGATTAGATTTGAGTACTATATATCTTTTTTTTTTTTTACCTAATCACAAGATGACATGTAAAAAAGAAATTATTATTTCATTTTATTTTATTGTTTCAATGACTAAAAATAACTCAAATCAAAATTAAAGGTCAATGATTATTTAAAATTCAATTCACGATCCTAAAATATAAGGTGAATGACATTTTCAACTAAAAGATTCTCAAGTCTCAATTTATATACCGAAAGTTTAAAAATCTCAAATTATGCCATTAGTTATATAAAAAAAAAAGTATTAATTTATACTACTTAATGTAACCATACATAAAAGAAATTTAAATGCTAACAATATACCTAAAAATGTACATAAATACAACATAATCACAAAATGTCCCTTCAACTCCACAATTGTAATTGAGTACACTCTTTTAATTGAAGTAAATTTTCAATCTAAATTGATTATATCAAGAATTACTTGGTACTTGAACCATTCCATTACCTTTGGTATTCTTGTGTCTTCTTGGTAGTACTAATTGATGCAAACGTGCGTTGCATTTTAAAAATTTGAAAATTGTGAATTGTAATTTTTTTATCGATGTTACGGCTATAAAAATAATATCTAGGTATTTTAACCCATATATTGATAACTTACGTGTGTAATGGAGGTATATATTTAATTATCGTTTTTTTATATATATTTTAATTATCAAGACTCAAAATAATTAGCACGAATAAATAGCGATGTATAAACAAAAAATACTTCATATTTGAACAGGTCCAGACCACTTGAATTTGACTAAGGTGAGGACATAAAAACTTTAGTTGGTTTACCATCAAATAGCATTATCATAAGGAAAATGCCATAACCAACCAAAAAAAAAAAAGGAGGAAAATGCCATTTTTATCAAATTTGAGGACCTAATTTACTATAACCATTAGATTGAAGGTGGATTTCATTTAACATTAAAACTCACAATTAATCCAATACTTGTATTTAATTAGATCCCAAATTAAGTGTCTATAGCATTGCTCTTATACTAAACAGTAGTGTCAAAATATATTTTTTATTTTACTTCGTGTTGACAAAAACAAACCATTTCAAAAAAATTAAGGCTCCAAACAACCTGGGTACACCCCTATAATCTACAGAGTGATCAGGCCAGATTAGTTCCAAATGATAAACAAGATGGTCAGAAGTATAGAGGTCCTAAATTTCTAGGTGTGAGGTCCAAAATGCATGACTAAACGCACACACCTATAGAAACTACTGCTAAAGATTAGTATGGTTTTGTATCCAGCACAAATAGAAAATCAATGCTTTGTATGTTCCATTCCACTAAGAAAACTCCTAAATCAGTAACTTGAAACAGCTGATACAATACTAATATATAAAAATAATTAGCGGCATAGTCTCGTACACACTACAAATAATTTTTTTCTGTGATCAGGAGCATTGTTAACATAAAAGCTCATTCAATAAAGATATTGTCTCGCTCAAGTGGTTAATGATTGTAAAATTAAGCACAAATATGAAGTTGGAAGGAATATATCACAGAAATTGATAGGTGTGAGATTGAATCCATGGGGGACATGACATAATGTTGACAAGAATAGTGTTCTTCTTGACAATGTAACTTGTGGCCTGTCCAATAAATTCAGCATTACATTTTTTCACATTTTTGTGTGTGTAAGAGAGAGAGAATACATTCTGTAACAGCCTCTCAGGCTTTCATTTAAATTCTTTGAAAAGTCATACTTAGAACACTGACCCCAGCTTATAACGACACTTACCAAACTCCACCACCAATATCTTATCTTCTTCCAACAACTCAATCTCCAATGCTTTGTGTAATATCTCAATAGGGTGCATCTTTAGGTGATCGTTGGTTCTTCATGGGCTTTCCAAGAGAAATCAACCAAGAGGTTTGGCCACTTTCAAGACAATGAGCCTAATATTGGAATTTTAACGAAGAAGAAGTGGGGAAGTGTATGAGGTGAAGGTCTTTTAAGAGAGACCTATGACTTTTCTACAAAGAAACAACTCTTAAATGAGAAGACAAACAACTGCAATGATTCTTTAAGGAAGCTGGGAAGTCTGTTAAATGTAAAGACCATTAAAAAGCCACAAACTGCAATTATATCTTGGAAGAAGAAAAGATGATACTTGAAAAAAGATCAATTAAATTCTTGAGCGGTTACATCTTAACTTGTTCAACTGAATGGAATATAATGAACCATAAAAAAATTGTTAATGTTAAAATAGGTAATCAAAAGTTTTTCTAAATAGCTGTCTTTTAATAGTAGTATAAATAAAGAATTGAGATTTATTAGTTTTTCATCCGGCATAAGGTTTTCTCACTTTTAACTAAAAGTTCTCATCTTCAAATTTCATACCATAGATATATTCACCAACCATACCTTAGGCATCCTTATACACACTAATTGCTCAGTTAGGTGCTCTTGCCTTCTCTCTCTCTGTGTATACGTATATATTTATGTGAATTCATGCTCTTGATAGTAACCAAGAGAAATTTGTTAGGTGCAAAGAAACTACTAAAAGCATGTTACATAACAAATCACCACTTTGATTTAGATTATAGGTTCAAATCAAAAATCAGTAGATTACAGTTTGTGGCCTTTTTTTTTCCTTTTCCTTTTCATCTTTGGCTCTACTACAAGCACAAGATGCAGGCTAAATAAAATTTGGCATTCAATTGGAATGCAATTTCTTCTGGTTAGACAATTGTTAAATCAAGATTTATATTGTGAATCAGAATCTTAAATTTGTGAATCGTTAATCGTATCGAATCATGAATTGTAAGATTCGACACAAAATTCAAACAAAGATAAAAAAAATAACATATATATAGTTAAAATAAGCAATGTATTGAATTTTGAGTACTATTACATTGTAAAAATAATCAATTCACATAATCACGTCGTCTAAATGAAAAGAAGTTAGCCTTTATGGATAGAAAATGTGGGTTCGAATCCCACCATGATTGATTTTTATATATTATTTGCAAGCCAACTACAATATAAAATAAAACATATATCAAGAGAATATGTATCTATCATTGATTCATTATAATTAAATATTTCAATCAAAAGTCAAGTTATGGACCTATCACCTATGGTCCCAAAAAATGAGAGGTGCATTGAATGACAACAAAAAGTCAAGTTCTAACACTCATCAAAAAAATAGTAGTAGTCAATTTCTTCAATCTTCATTATCTCCAAGGTTAAGATCTTCATCAGCATCATCTTCTTCTACTTCAACCATCTCT